GGTTATATGGACTACTGAGACGTTGTCCGCAGGGTCTGAATGCATTCGGGGTGCTTGCAGCCTGGGCGCAGTTAGAGCTGTTCTCGGGGCATTGTCTGTTTTGAGCTTGTCTGTCTACCTCTCTTTTTGGTTGGCCTGCCTGGCTGTCTGGTCGATCTGGGAGTCTTCGAGTCCCTAGTCACGAATTTCCGGAACCTGCAACAAGATCAGCTGCATCCAAGACCCAACGTCCGAAACGCCTGCAAGCGATCCCGCAACCCACCACCACGTAAAGCCTGTAACGAGCCTTGCAAACTTTACAACAGTAACAAGCTCTAGAAAGCCCTACGACAGCCCAAATGCCGTATTTAAACTCACTGCTGCAATTGTATCAACCGTCTCAGCGCCAAGCCCTAGAAGCACTTCAACCCTAAACCCTAAACCCTACAACCTAAACCCTAAACCCGCCGAGGGCAGCCTTTGCAAATGCTTCGGGCCTCCTCCGCTGGCCGTGTCGGCTGGCGCCCCACAAAGTACTGTGCCCACCGCATTTGCAGCCTTCCTGTCTTGCAATACCAATTCGGTGTCACCGCTATAATATACTATATTATACTATATTATACTATATTATACTATATTATACTATATCATATACAATGTTGTATTGTATTGTCTTATATTATATTTTATTGTAATGTACTGTCTTGCATTGCATTGCATGGCTTGGCATGCATGCATGCACGAATGCATGCACGCACGTATGTACGTATTTACGTATGTATGTATGCATTGCCGCTTTGTTCTTGTTGCGAGGTCGGTTTTATTGGCCTGGCAGTGTTAGTGTTACTCTTTCGGTGTTCCATCCCCGCTCCCCAGGGACTTGCACCTGGCTGGGTCCATATTGCCGGGTGATGTGGACGTCGTGCTCAATGGCTCTGTTGAGAGTGTTCAGTATCCTGCAGGTCTTTACATAATGTCTTGCCGGATGAAGTGGACGGCCAAAGCTAATACCAGGTTTAGAGTTTAGCGTTTAGGGTTTAGGTTTTAAACATACCTGCCTCAACGCCATACTGGGGTCCTGGACACAGATGCATAGAAAGGATTTGTAGCCAGGCCGAGAGACGACTTGAAACCTACCTTTATATGCAAGCCTGAAGAAATCCCCATCTTGTTTTTTTAGGGTTCTTGATTATCCTTTCACTGTAAGGCGCCGTATCACCTCTTTGAAAGTATTAAGGCCCCTATATTAGTTTGGCAAGACGAGGCTGTATCACCACACCTGCGGTGACTCCGCCGTTCTCCACGTCAGGGTCTCGGTCATCTTCTACGTCTTAAATCTGGCTTTTATGGCAGTGTAGCAAACCCTGAATCCGAGACTCCGAATGGCCCGCAGTTAAACCCCGTCCCCATTCCCTTTAGGTACGGGTTCGGGGACTAGTGACTAGCCAAGATCGCCCGGCCGTATAAGGCTTATGGTCCAAAAAAATGCGAAGCACAACAGCAGTAAATTCTGGACCCTTACCCATCACAGCTCAACCCCATCACCACGCACCTGGGACCCTAACCCTTGAGCCCTCTAAATCCCACAGCCGCCAGCCGCTAAAGCCGTCGAGCTTGCAAATCCTAAACCCGAAAAGCCTTAGAAACCCTGACTCCCAAATTAAAACTCGGAATTTCAAGCCCTATACCCAAACTGCAAGCGAATTCCAGGCCGAGGAGTAGCCGGGGTCCCGGAGCTTTGAGGGCTCGCAGAGAGAGGTCATCTTTGGGTTTCACCTGAGGTGTTTTACGTTGCTTTGTTTGATGGGTTCACTCTCATTTGTGTATTGAGTGCCGTGCTGTTGGTTTCCGGCTTCTTCCGAAACTCTAAACCTTCAAGAAGGTTGTATGACTGAGTGAGTGAGCGTCTGTGTGATTCGGCTTCGGGGCTGGTGCAGCTTCGGGTTCAGGATCAGACTTCTCTTGCCCCCTGTGCGACTCTGGAACTCTAGGGGTCTGAAGAATTAGAATAGGGTTTTGGAGTATACTATACTATAATCATATTAAGGAACCCTCCCAAAATAGTATAGGTAATTGTGAAGGCCCCTACAGTAGTTCCCAGGAGAGTGTCAGTACAATTAAGGTGCAAGCCTGAGTGGGCAGGGCTTGAGAACGCTGAGGGCTTGAAGACATGGGTTCAGGAGACCTTGGGTACCTGCCCAGCCCCCCTTGCCGCAAAAGTTGAAGCAGGCTATCTAGTCCCTGCCGCAGTTTACTTGTCAGTCTCTTTATGAGGTGATGAGTCGACAGTCGAAGCTGATGCCAGCAGGCCTCAATCGCAGGTCCTCCGAAACCTACGCCCTACTATACGCATACGACTCATATTCGACCTCTCCGGACAAAGTAGGAGTTCGTCGTTCTTCTGCAGCTTGCCTCTCGAATCCTCCAAACGATGCATCATACCCACATGCACAGAGTACTAAGCTACAATAGGGTCTTAGACAATTGCCATCACTGTTTTTTTTTTTTGGGGGTTCTTTTTTATATTTATCGTATACCGGTCCCCAAAGCCCTACTCTAATCATCAAGGCCCCGATATTAAGTTGTTATATGGCTACATCATGTGCGGATCGCGTAAGATATGGCAGACGTGGTTTGTATGTCTCTCTTGCATGTCTGTGAGTAAAACGAAAGAACACCCGAAACGCCGTAAGCTCCCTAAACCCTTTGATTGACAGGCCCCAGCATCCCGAGACTCCCAAATCCTTCATCCGCAGCCCGAAACCCCCAAACCCGGACAACCTCCTTTGCAGCCCCATGTAATCCTGACCCTAAACCCCCAAACCCAAACCCGAAACCCTAAAGAGGCCACTTAAAAGAAACCAAACCTTGAAGCCTCAAGAGACCGAGGTCACCGGGTGCCCTCCACGCCTCCAAACTTCCGGCCGCCGCAGGTGATGCAGGTGCCGCAGGCCGCACTTGCGGTTTTGGGTTCAAGGTTTAGGCTTGCAGCTTCAGGGTTTGGGGTTGTTGAAGGCGGTGTTGGAGCGGGGAGCTGTCCTGTCTATCATGATTGCTGCTGCTCTTCTGTGCTGACATTGCCGCACTTTCCTGGGCATCGTACGTTCAACAGGGGTTGGACCAAAAGGCTTCCAGTCAATGGGTACTCCGCTTTTGGGTTTGGGGGTTCTGGTTTGCAAGAACTAGGAGAGGCTCGTCTTTCAAGGGTAACTCTTGAAGTGTGGTTTCGTGAATGAAGCTCTACACATGTGGGCACACGTGAGCTTCAGGAGTCGGAGCTTCGAGCTGGGATTCCAGGCTGCTTTGTATCAGAAGTCCTACAGCTAAGCTGCTATATGTTTGATGCGGAATCTCAATGCTTCACAAAGGCGTCCTGCGAGCTGCTTTTGACTGTTGACCCATCGGTTCCTGCTCCGGAACTGCTAAATGATCTTGGCCAAAGCCTTCTCTGCCTCTGACGGGCGGTTTCCTGGAGCCATCAACGAGAATCAACATGGAAGTAAGGGACCCTAATATAGTACACTAAATAGTAGGATCCTTATTATAAGGACCCCAAACTAAGGTACCCCTAATTTTCGGAAACTCCCACATCTTCAAGTACATCCCCATCTCTGTCGCAAGAACCCTCGTGCTCTGCTACAGGTCGCGCCACTGACGCCTCGGCCCAGGGCCGAGCTTCAGCACACGGGTCAAAGAACCCCCAACCCCCCCCCCCCCCCTCGAAGGAAGGATCGCCTCCTGTCCACCTGCTCCCCCCCTCGGAATAAGAAGTCTTTTTTGTGAATCCGGCATTCCTTTCAGACTCAGTTTGACCTGACAGCCGGTAGCCCCGAACCGGGATCCTGAGAGGCTTCTTCTGAGCCAGATCCCTTCCATTCCCTCCACCGGTCCTCAATCTGAACTGCCCTGGTAGGCGCAATACGGGCAAACATGATCTGGATTTTCATTCCATCAAGCAGCAACTTCCAGGGCTGCAGGTTAAGAGTTTGGGGTTTTGAAGGCTCTTACATTCCGTTCGAGCAGCTGGAAGCCACGACAAGGGACATGCTAAAACCTCCCTGAGGCTAAAACTAAAACCTTAAAGCGTCCCGCTCCGAGCCGTTACAAGTCGCGAAGATCTCCATCTGCGCAGACCGATATGTACCGCTTTCTAGACCCCTGAAACGACCCGTCCGATCCTTTAAGTAACGTCTGAACCCGAGGTCGGACTCGCGCCCCTCAAGACCTGCGAGCAACCCAAACCTCGCGGTGGGTCCGTATGCCCGGGGCCTCAACTTATAAGGTTCATAGGGCCTTTTCAAATTTTGCCGCTACGTAGTTGTAGCTGTGGCTAGGGAGTTCAGGCACGGACTTAGGGATCGCGGTAAGCAGCAATACTCATCTGTTGATTGTATGACTATCATATCGACTATAACGTACCCCAACAACCCCGCGCTAATTTATCAGGCCCCAATACTACATAAGTACCACAGGCCAGGTTTCCGAAGGTTGAAAAAGCCAGGACGGAGGTCACATAATATCAGGATTGTATTTGGCATTCCCTAAGGGTCCCTTCTTGCCTCCCCCCAACCTCGCGCATCGCAAGGTGCGTGCGAAGCACCCGAAACTGAAACTGCACTCGACATTTTAACCAGAACGCCTTGAGATCTAAAACATCCAGGGAAGGAGAAAGGGTTTTGAAGCTGTTGTGTGTAAGGCCTCCTTGAAGTATGAAAGGCTGTGAGGCTTTGGGGACTTAGAACTACTAGGGCTTTGGAGGTTGCGGCTTGAGGGTTTGGTGCGAAGGGCGGTCTGCAGCCGGCTCCGAGTTACTAGCGGCTGTTGTGCTGTAGGTAGCGGGATGTTTAGGGTTTAGGGTTTAGGGTTTAGGAAGCTCTCACGTTTGGAGTCTTGGGTTTTGAGCTTACGGTTTGGGTTTGCACCGCAGGCTGTCATGGCTTGACATGCATAGCCGCTGGGTTAGCTAGTGCCGTTGGTTCTGCCATTGCCCTACACCGTGCTTAAGCTGACTCTGACCGGGCATGATCCTGCAAAGGTGGAGGCCAAAGCTGTCTCTGCTTGCAATTCAGACGATATCTGGGCCGGCCAGTGCCATTTTGGCTCCGAGTTGTTGCTTGTTCCTCTTTTACCCTCCCCCCCCTGAGCGGCGTGCTGCTATGATACCAGGGGCGGGGGGGAATTTTGGGGGAGGCTATGCATTTGAGCCGGGGCCTCAGCACGTTTGAGGTCCATGTTTCGGTGGCTGGCTATAATATTGGGACATGAATGATCATGATTATGACGGGAGCTAGTAGGCTTTTGCTTCAGACTGGTTTCAGGGTTTATGTTCCATTGTTTCGCGTTACCGCGTCGATGTACCGATTGCACACGTTGTCACGAGCCTTCGTGTCCAGTGGGCCTCCAAACAAAGTCGGTCGGCATGGCATTGACTGAGGCCACAGCTGACCCCGAGGACAGAGCGACATGTGAGGCATGTCCCGTGTGCTTATCGGTTGAGGATTCAAGGAATTGAGCTCGAGGGGTCGCAAAAACTGCCGAAATGATTCCTTAGGCTTCCTGAATAGAACCTATAGAGTAGAATTTGTCGAATACTCTATTCTAGTTTTTAAGGCAACCAGACTAGCAATAGAAGTCTTAGCAACCGGAGCTTGGAAGCAGCTTGATGTACGGGCTGCTCCAAAAACCTTCTAGTTCAGAAGGTTTGGGTTTCTTTTTGTCCGTCGGGGGCTGAGAAGCTGCGAGTTGTTTGCAGTGGTATTCAAGTTCTGGTGACAGACGGTGGAAGTCTGTGTTCAAGGGGTTTGGGCTGTGGTTTGCAGGATGCAGCGTTCTGGTTAGATCTTGGGGGGATGCTTGAATTAGAGGCTTTGGCCACGTGCAGACGTTTCAATTCTTGGTCGATTGTGGGGTTCAAGCATGCGACTGTCATGATGACGCCGAATGGCGCGGTTGAAGAGGCACCCTTTATGGTTAACGAAGCAGTCTGATCATACGCCATGTAACTTGACCCATTCCAAACCACTCGAGTTGCATGCGGGTCGTAGCAGCAAACTGTCATCACAGGGGCCGGAAATGCTGGGTTCATCTGTGGGTGCTGAGCCCAGAGGGTCGCCAGTGGCTAAATATACCATGAGTAGCTTGGCCAGGTGTTCTTTCAGTGCGCTGCATTCAGAAAGCAGAAGTTCTTGATGGTCACACAGCCGCCGCACAAGTAAGTGCACCAGGGTGCTACAAGAATCCATAATATCGCGCGGACGCGCTAGAAACGTTCAATCATCGTTCCACAGAACCCACATCCTAATCCACCGAACTCTGCAATTCCCTCGGTCCGTGTTCAAGAGCAAGGGATCCAACTCAATATGGGTTTGTAGACCCCACGTGAATTGATATTGCTCCTCCGGATTCAAGAACCCCCGAACATCACGGTTCTGTGTTGCGGGTGCTTGGGGGTCTAAGGTCGTGACCTTCTCCATCCTCTATGTGACTGCGCTGGTGATGACAGCGCTCTCGTCCCTGGACAGCAGAGAGGTGTTGAGTTTAGTCTTCCGGGCCTGGAGGATGAAGTTCCGGGCTTAGAGGATTAAGTTCACGATTCCGGGTGCCTTGCCCTCAATCGCCGCTGAGATGCAGAAAAGTGTCTAAAGGCCCCCGCCGCAGCGCCCAAACCCTCCCCACCACGGTTCTTTTTCCATCTCTGGCGCACGGTTTCATTCGAGTGCCGAAGGAGTGCAGTTAGTTTGAGGAAAGTGGAAACAGCTGAAACAGCCTGGCAGCAGCTGCAGCAGGTGAAGGAGCAGTGGTTAGTAGTAGTGTAGCTCAACTGCTTGCAGGGCAAGCCGGTGAAGCCGTTATGATGTTCGGCGTAGCCGTGCGCACAGTAAGATCAAACGCAATGCTGGCAGCAATGCAATCCTTGTGGCATAGAGATAGCCCTGCGCAGCATGCGCTAGCCATGTGATCCGTACTTCGACGGTGCACTTGAACCAATCAGCAATCGAAGGGTATCGCTGTCCACTTGCTTTCAGGCTTGAATTTCCTGCAAAAGTTAGGTGTGTAAGTAGGCAGCATGGGAGGTGGAGTTCGGTTGGCAGCCAGGTAGGTAGGAAGGGTTAGACTAAGCCGGAGAGGGAGTCGGGAATGTATCAGCCCGGACAGTGTAGATCTTTTAAGCCTGTGTTCCCAGAGCTCATGAAATCCAGGTGGTCGGACAATGGCCTTTGCTTCAAATCCTGGTGGTGCGTGTCGCGAATGTACATCTGCAGCCCGTCGTGACAGGGTCTCGAAGCATTCGAGCCCGAAGTTACTACTTAATAGCAACAGCAAAAGTAATAGTATGACAGTAATAGTGGTAGTAATAGTAATAGTCAGCAATAGTGCTAGTGGTAGTGGTAGTAGTACTGGAAGTGGTAGTGGTATGCGGCAGCGGTGGTTGTAGTGGTAGTTGTAGTGGTAGTGGCGATGGTGGTGGTGGTAGTAGTAGTAGTAGCAGTAGCAGTAGTAGTAGTAGTAGTAGTAGTAGTAGTAGTAGTAGTAGTAGTAGTAGTAGTAGTAGTAGTAGTAGAGGTAGTAGTAGTAGTAGTAGTAGTAGTAGTAGTAGTAGTAGTAGTAGTAGTAGTAGTAGTAGTAGTAGTAGTAGTAGTAGTAGTAGTAGTAGTAGTAGCACTGGCACTGCTGCTGCTGCTACTACTACTACTACTGCTGCTACTGCTACTGCTACTGCTACTGCTACTGCTACTGCTACTGCTACTGCTGCTGCTACTGCTACTGCTACTGCTACTGCTACTGCTACCACTACCAGTGCTAGTACTAGTACTGCTGCTACCACCATTGCTGAAACTGCCATTGCCACTGCCACTACGTCCAGTGCTGCGACGACGGCGATGCCGACGACTACTACTGCTACTACCTCTACGACGACGACGACAACGACGACGACGACGACGACTACTACTACTACTACTACTAGGACTGCCACTGCCGCTTCCGCTGCCACGACCACTGCCACTGCCACTGCCACTCCTACCACTACTACCGCCACCACCTTCACCTTCAACACCTTCACCTTCACCACCTGCACCTTCACCACCTTCACCTTCACCACCACCACCACCACCACCGCCACCGCCACCGCCACCGCCACCGCCACCGCCCCCACCACCAGCACCACCGCTACACCTTACCCTAGAGTCAATATCATGATTTCCATGGTGGACATCATCTTCTGAAGCATCACTACCCTTTTGGTGTTGCAGTTATCACAACCCCGAAGCCTGAACCCTATACCTTGCACCCTAAACTTTACCCTTGAACCCTAAACTGTAGAAAGCCTCTGAACCCCAGACCCCAAATCCTGAACCCCAAACCCTAAGCCCTACATTACTGCACCTCACTTGGACGCCGTGCTAGGCACCTTCATCGCGGCCCTCATGTACCTCGGACGGCATGCAGACAACACCTCACACCCCACACCGAATGTAGCTTAACTGGGGTTGTAGGTATTTAGTGCCCCAGACCGACAGCTTTCAACACAGCCCCGAACCGAGCACACAAGTCTGTACTCCTACTGCCAGAACCCCGAACCAGATTCCCCCAATACAAGGAAACTTTTGTCTAGACGTCGCCACATGAAAGAGTGAGGTGGGTGTGGTATCTCTGGCGCAGCACCACCAGGGAAGGCTGGCTCGGAGGTTTGAAAAGTTTGAGAGTTTGGGGCTAAGATTGGGGTCTAGGGCGTCTAGGGGTCTGAATAATAGCTGGAGATCAAGGCCCGTATATTAAGAGGGGCTTCAAGCCAAGATGGAGGGCACTGGGATTAGGGTTTCAGGCTTCCGGGTTGTGCGATTTGAGGTCTAGGCTTTTGCGTACAGGCTTCAAGGTTTATGGATGTTTGAGGTTTACTGTTCAGGGTTTCTGGGTTCAGGGTTTAGGGTACAGCTAGTCCCTACATGCTTGTCGCGGCCTTCCTCGAGCTCCTGTTGAATAATTCTCTGAAGTAGGGCCCCCTTTTACTACTACGGCACCCTTCCAAATCGGATCCTAAAAGGGGCCCTAATTTAGAGAACTACCCACGCATGACATCCTGTGGAGGCCCATCGGACCCCAAGCCGAGGGACACAGGAAGCATCGGATCTGTGCATCTCTTGGAACTTCGAAAGCAGCCAAGGCTCTTCTTGAGGAGTTCCTCTGCTCGGTAGGCGTCGAACTCCAGTAGAGGGATAGCTTTCTAAACACATGTAAACATGTACCTATGTATGTATGTATGTATGTCGTATGTATGTATGTATGTATCTACCTATCTATCTATCTATCTATCTCTCTCACTCTAGTTCAGCGTAGCTATATACATTTATTTCAAATATGCCGTTCCCAAAATCCAACACGACCTCGACGCGAAAGTGCATCGTCTGAACGACATACGCCTGTGCAGGTGAAGTTCCACTGGGCCTTCTCGTTCCTGAGTTGCACCTAGAATCCCAACCCCGGAACCTCAGACCTAAGTTCTAAACCCTCATATATATATATATATATAACTAACCCCAAAACCCTAAACCTAAACTCTGAGACCCCAAGACCTAAACCCTCCCTGAAACTGTGAGCCCTAAGCCCCAAATCCGCTTCGGGGACGCTTGACCCTCCGGTCACTCCAGCCTTTTGGTGGATTGTAGTACCTGCCACATAGAGTATGCTCAAGTGCTTGAGGTCAGCATTTGGTTCACCACAGGCACCCTCAGCGTCGGCATGTGTTCGCTGCAGCTTGGCCTATTTCCGGGTTTCTTGTCGGGTCACACAGGCTGTAGACGATAAGGAGATAAGGACATCAGTTTGGTCAACTTGTCAACGGTTGAAGATAACAGCTGACCGCTGCCTGCCACCCAGGCCCTGGCATAGGAGACTCAGTAAGTACCCGTAGTTCCGATTCGTATAGACATGCGGCTGCCCTCCAGACCGTGCCCGATTCATTTCGCGCAGCACACACCCTGAACATGCCTTAGCCCAAGTGGCCTAAACCCTAAACCTTAAACCCGAAACCCAAATTCAGGTGTAATTGGGCCATGGTACAGCTGTGGGCCTGGCTAGACCCACTTTGCTGCACGGCCTGGAGGGAGCTAGGGGCTTCGGTGGATGTCCAGGATTCAGATTTAGGGGTTTTAGGGGTTTAGGGCCTTTAGGGTTTAGGGATGTAGTGTTTAGGGATTTAGGGGTTTAGCGTTTAGTGGGGAGTTAGGGATTTAGGGTTTAGGGATTTAGGGTTTGGGGAAGTCCATTGTCTAATCAGTAAATGTTGGCAAGGCCCAAGCACTAGCTTGGAGAAGGAATGGTGATCTGATTAGCCGAGGAGTGTCGTCGAAGCCTCAGCCAGAACGCTCAAGACTCGACACCCCAAGTGCTCTGCAAGAGGGCTTGAAGTGTTGGATGCGAAAAGCTTGGAGCTGTATCTCGGTTGGCCTTGAGCATTGCCATACTCCTTCCAGAGACAGGTAGCACATTTGGCTGTATTTCAGGTAGGAATTTGGCGGCCGAGGCTACATTACATACCCAGCCGACAACTGGCCATTGCCTCAGGTTTCTGAGGGATTGACTCAGAGTGAGAATGGGAGAAGCGGCTGTCTAGGGTTTAGTTGGTGCAGGGAGCATATTTTGAAAGGCTTCGGGATGTTCAAACTGTCAACCCTAAACCCTAAACCCTAAAAGCCAGAAGCAACTCCGAACCCAACCTTAATCTGAGGCCATGGATATTCCGGACTTGCGACTTTGGGATTTGTCCTGCTTAGGGTTTAGGGTCCAGGGTTTTGGAGTTATATAGGGTTTTGTTTTTTTCGGCTGAGGTTTGGTAGGCCCGAGTGTTGAGGAATGCCTAAGGTGAACATGAGTTGATTTTGCTTCCGATTGAAGAATCCATCTCAAATTGAAACCCCCAACCCCAACCCCCTAAAACCCTTAACCTTAAGCCCCAAAACCCGAAGCCCGTGCCGAACCAGGCCTTGGGAGTACACCTCCACGAGGTGTATTATGGTCAATGCACCCTGGCCCGAAGGGCTCCGATCGCTTGGCTCGCGCGCTCTCTCTCTCTCTCTCTCTGTCTATGTGTATACCTACATGTATATGTATATGTGTACATATATCATATATATATATATATATATATATATACACATTCGTATGCTTACGTACATCCGCATATCCGCATCTACGTATGGCCACATCCATATCTTTATCTACATCTTTATCTATATCCATACCCATATCTCTGTCCGTATCTATAACCATATCCGTATTATATCTACATCTGCATCTGTATCTATATCTGTATCTATATCTATGTATACACATACCTGCATCTATCTCTATCTATATGGCTATAGCTGCAGCTGTTTCTGCATCGTGTATCTATATCCATATCTGTATCTATGTCTATACCTGTATCCATATCTATGTCTTTATCTACATCTATATCTGTTTTGTTTATCTACACCTGTATCTAGAGCTGTATATATATATATATATATCAGTATATGAGGGGTTTTACGACTTTGAGGTTTAAGCGTTCTTGTAGGTTTTTTCAGTTCCAGCACGGGATTTTCATCCGGCCGGCTGAGGCGTTTTGCGAGACCCTAAGCCCTAAACCTTTGACCCTACATGTTGCCATCATGCCATGCTCTGCAACAACTTCGGACAGTCTGAGATGGTTGATCCCAGAAGTTCCGAAATCGAAGCGCTATGAGTACTCGCATGCGAAGAAGCCCAGCCCAAGTAAGCATGCCGTATTTAAAGGGTGATCGAGGCCCCGCAGCACTTGAACTTTGCTGCAACGTAGGCTCAGGGCTGCCCATTAATTTCCAGCTCCCTGTACGAGATCCCGCTTGCCAGCCAGCAAGGCAGTACAGTGGGTGCTAACCGCGGGCATCATCGAGGAGTTCCAGTCGTCTTCTATCACAGCACTCGGAAGTCTGCTTTTTGAGCCGAGTACATGCTGTAATGGGAATCGGGCGACCGTAACAAAGCCGTGCAACCCCGACATCTTAACGCAAACCAGCTGGTTCCCCGTAGCAGGGTGGGGGCAGTCCTCTGCAACAGGAACCACTATACCATACTACAATACTATAATACGATCTACGCTAGTCTTGTAGACTAACCCCCGGACCCTCACCCTAAACCCTGAACCCCAAGCCTGGATGTTGAGGACGGAAAAAGGAGCTCAACAACAAAAAGAAGCCCTAAACTCAAACCGAGTTGGAACGGCAGGAGAGCTTCAAGTTTGCGTCGTTGCTCAGATTGCGGCCGACGCCTGGCAAGGCTGGCATCGAACTTCTTACCTTTGGTTAGTGGGGAATGGAGGAAGGGGGTACAATTTAGGGTTGAGGGGTTTAGGGTTTAAGGTTTAGGGTTTAGGATTTAGGGTACAATTACAACTACTATTACTACCATTCTTCCCATTTCCTACTAACCAAAGGTAAGACTTGGCGACATCTTGGGGCTTGGATCTCTCATTCGCCTTTGCGGGATACCATAGTTTCGTAGAGTCCAGTAAGGTGTAGCATAGTCTAGTAATTATAGTACGGTATAGTATAGTAATGTATAGTATAGCCTTACAAGTGTATAGTCTAGTATAGTATAGTATAACATAGTAAATCTTAGAGTCTTAGAGGTCGAGAGCGAAAGGACCCTTCGTGATGTCGTTCCTTAAGTCCGGCGGTGTGTTGGCCTCAGACATGCAGCCGCGGCACAAGGTGTTGGGATTTCGACAACCGTCCATGGGAGCAAGGGTCTCGGGTCTTGCGGGTTTGGGGTGTAGTAGTCTAGGGTTTAGGGAGTCGACCTCCAAACACCACAGCCCCTCAGGATTGCTTGATTCGCTTGTTGGACCGACTGTTCAGGCATGAGGACCATCCTTATCGCGCTATAAGAAGGAACTGAACGGAGTATGCATTCGTATTCCTGTCTTCAGTTCACGTCAACTACCCGCTTCGAGAATCCTGAGTTCACCGCCCAAGCCATCTCTTGGCATCTCCGGCAGCTGTTGGTTTGAGGCCCTGTTTAGGGTCTGGGGTTCAGCTTCTAAAGAGCAGCGTCAACCTTAAGACTCCGCGCTTCTATGCAGAAGGACACAGACCCCTTCCGACTTCTCGTGCAGGTGTTGCAGGGCGTTGCCGGCTGCAGGTGTAGGCGCTCATCTTAAATCCGGGCCTCCTTCGTCCTTGAACTTATGTCGAGGTTTGGATTTGGGGGCCGTGCTGCGACTATCCCTTTCTTGTTGTCCTTCTGCTTGGCTCAGGCGGTTGGAGACATGAGATTTCGTATGCATTACATTGGCATGAGGCCTTCTGCAGGCAACTGGCTTTCCCAATATCCACGAGCCCACGGCAGCAGTATTCATAGAATTGTACGGCATTAAGCAGATCGCCTGAGGTCTCCTCCAGAACGTCAGGTAGGTAGGGACTCTCAGAATGCGGCTCCTGAGCCCTTGCCTCGCGAAAGCTCTACTCCAGATGGAGCCACAAAGGACAGACTGACTAAGCCGCCAACCGAAGATCATCTCCTAAACCTCATCTTGGAAGGCTTGAGCCCCATATCCGGAAAAAAAAGGTCACCCAGAAGTAAGCCCAAAACCCAAGGTCCCGAACCCTGGGCCCCAAGCCCAACACCCAGACTGCCTTGTAGGACATGACGTGAGGTACCCTAAGCCCTGAACCTCTAAACCGTTAACACCAAATGAAGAAACCCTAAACCCCTACACCCATAACCCCAAATCAAGAAACCCTAAACCCCTAAACCCTTAACCCCCAAAAGAAGAAACCCTAAACCCCTAAGCCCCCAAACCCCAAAAGAACACACCCTAAGCCCCTAAACCCCTAACCCCAAAAGAAGAAACCCTAAACCCTTAACCCCAAAAGAAGAAACCCTAAACCCTCAACGTGAGGTTGCCCGGCCTTCCCAAAGCATGGTACATGCGGCTTGCCGACTCCCCACTGGCCGTGACGTGGTTACAGTGTGGGAGTTTCCGAAAATTTGGGGTACCTTTATTTTGGGGGTCCCCAAATTATAAGGATCTTACTAGTTAGGGTACTGTATTATTACAGGGTCCCCTGTTTTCGGAAACTCCCATGTGGTTTACAGGTTTGGGTTTAGGGTTGGGGCTTGGGCTGGGCCTGGGGGCTTGGGGTCATCCCTTCATCGCGCGAAGGGTTCCAGAAAAATAGCAGCTATGTGCCAGTGTATGTAGAAAGGTATGCGCATGTGCATAGACGGATGTAAGGCGTGTGTGTGTGTGTGTGTGTGTGTGTGTGTGTGTGTGTGTGTGTGTGCAGCTGTGCGCGCACATGTCGCCGTTTATTTATGTATGTATGTTCTTACGTACGTACGTATGTATGTATGTGTGTATGTATGTATACACACGTATATGCGGACGTACATACGGATGGATATATGCGCCGGTGTGTGTATGTGTGTATATGTGAATGTGTCCGCGTGTGTATGTGTATGTGTATGTAAATCTGTATGTGTATGTGTATGTATGTATGTATGTATGAATGTATGTATGAATGACTATGTGTACGATTGCTGATATGTATGCAATCAAGAATGTGTGCAAGTATGTATGTGTGTATGCATCCATGCATGCATGCATGCATGCATGCATGGATGGATGGATGGATGGATGGATGTATGGACACAAGCTCAAAGATGCACGCACGTATATGCGAGGCTGACAAATTGGTTTGGTGTGTGTGTGTGTGTGTCTATGTGTGCGTGTGCGTGTGCGTGTGTGCGTCTGCGCTGCATGTAGACAGCATATAAGACAAGCAAATAAGTGTATGATATGTATATATATATACACATACATATTATATATATATATAATACACAAAAATGTACCTGTGCGTAAAAAGTAATGTAACATAGTGTCGTTTAACATAGTACAATATACTGTAGTATAACCCACTATAGTAACACATCATATATTATTGCATACTATCGTTTAATGAACTAGAACAGAACAGACTCAAATCAGAGAAGATAGGACGAGAGAATGACAAATCTTATACACATACAGAGATACATACGTTTGTACGTACATACATACATAGACACATAAACATGTTAGTCACCTACTCGCATCGATGTCCCCGCTATGGTGTCCCCTAGCCGGAAGCCCCGGGCCCCAGCCAAAACCCAACACCCTAAACCCTAAACCCTAAAACCCTTCACCCACAAGAAGCCGTAAACCTCAAGCCCAAGTGCTCCATTCGAGGTGGCCCTCTGCGGGGTGGCAGCAGGGGGAGGACTGGCAACGACCGAGAATTTCATGTACATTTTTAGCGGCTTGGCATAGATGAAACTCATATTCTACATCTGTTGGGCCTACACACTAAACTTCAATCTGCCAAAGTATACAAGTAGATGCAAGGAGAAGCTGTGGGGCATTTTGCGCAATCGAAGACTCCTATGCACTTACAGAAAGGGTCGATCCATGAATCGCTGTCAGGCTTCCAAGGTCGGTGCACTTAGCACTGTTTTGAGGTGGGGCTGCCGACGCGCCTAAACCCGAAACCTCCCCTTACATGAACTTCCGTACTATAGGGGCATAAATAGTTACCCATACTATTTTTGGGGCTCCTTGTTATGATTATAGTATAATGGGCCCCAAAACCCTATTCTAATTATTAAGGCCCCTGTAGTAGTGGCTTTGGGCATTCGCCTTATACCGAGTCTTAAGCTGCTCTCCAACCCGACGCCCTGAAGGCTGATACCTCTATGTTTCTGATATGATATTACAGTATTTCCTGTTTTACTGTAGTATGTTGCGTTATATTCGACTGCCTTGTTTTTGAATTAAGTTGCTTTGTATTATATTGATATCATATTGCATTGGATCTGTTATACTACCTTATGTTGCATCATATGGAACCTTCGGACACCGAAATCCTGAACCCGAGGCACAGAAAGCATTGACAAAGCTTTCAGAGAGGCGCGACTTCACTTGGTTTGTGGCTTCTCGGGGTGTTCGAGTATGTACCAGGTGTGTGTCCTTGGCCAATACTTGCGCAAACTCGGACGTCGCAAACCCTGAACCTCAAAACCTAACTCCGACTTCCAACTCCAACCGCAGCGTTGGGGTTTAGGGCTTCTAAATAGAACCCAGAAAGTCGCAACATCATTGTCTGCATGCCTTCAAGGTCGCGTACAGGACGTCTTAGCACCAATCATCCTCCACCCATTTTCAATTTTTCTGGGCTTCCTTCCCTTTAGGGTTTGTAAGGGTTTAGGACTTACTAGGGCTTGCAGGATGGTTCTGAGGACCTGGTTTTGAGAGGGCTCTTCAGTTTCAGAGACCCTCCGGTGTTGAAATGTGGTTCCTGAGATGGTGATCCCTTGTTGCTCGGTAGCCTCCCGGGCATTTTATACAGGACAGCTTGTTCAGGGTCTCGAGATTCCGAATTTACGGATCCAGGGTGTGGGTTTTTATTGCAGAATTTTGGTCTGAAGTGCTAAAGTTTGGTGGGTGGATTCGTGTCAGTCTTGTAGATTTACTGCTGACAGAGCTTCAGGAATAACTGCAGCTGCAGTTTGACGCGTCGCCTTCACCACTGTACAAACCTGGTAGACATCATTCGGACTACTGCTAGTCTGCAAACCCAACCCAAAACTCGAAGCTTTGTTTACGATCTAAAGCCTGCAGATACTATGGGGCCTAAATGATTTCCCATGCTATTTTGGGCATTCCTAATTTATAGTAGAACGCCCCAAACCATATTCTAATTCTAAAGTCCCCGTATATAGAGCCGTTATGGTAGCCCTTATAGTAACCCCTTTTAAAGGAACCCTTTCTGAAACCCTATTCTAATGATTAAGGCCTCTATATCATCTCTTGAGACCTTCAGGGAGATCTGGAGTCAGCATATGGCCGCATCGCGGCGTCCTTCGCCCACATGGTTTGGACAGGCGGGCTCGGCCGAGTTGTGGGGGGAATTCGGGGCTTGCAAATAAATAAATAAATATAAATATATATATATATATATATTATACAAATATATGTATCTGTTTGTATATATATATATATGTACAAAAGTCCTTATGTGTAAATGAGTTTCCTGTGCAGCTGTGCAATCTTGAGCAGTGATGATGCGTGGCCAGAGGCATCCTTGACTAACAGCACAGGCATACAGGCTGGTACGAAGCTGCCGGCCACAAGCACAGTCCTGGGCAAGGAAAACTGACGGTCGTACGAAGGCGGTACAGCCCTAAACCGAACCCTAAATTACTAAGCCCTTCAGCCCGTCAGCCCTAAATCCCCAACTCTCAAACCCGAACGCTAAACCGCTAGAACCCTTAAATCCTCAACCCTAAACCCTCCCCCGCTCAAGTCTCAACCGAGGCTATGCCGCTTGCGGCCTAGCGAAGTGGTTGCTTGCTGGCATTATGAGCCTGTCGATGTCGGGGTGGGTGGGTGGGTGGGGTCGTATATTTCCTTGCTTTGGGCCTTGTTTCAGGGATCCCACTGTTGTGATTCTGAGACTCCCATGTAGATGATGGTAATTGCAGCAGTGTTGCTGGTATCGGTGCTGGTGTTACTCGTCTTGTGTTCATGACTTTGTGTTGGTGGTGAAGACATTAATGCAGACCACGCTCATGCTCGCACGGTAACACGCATGAGGAGAGTGACCGTGGATTTCCGTTCCGCCCTTGTACAGACTGACTGCAGAAGCTGCGTAGAATGCAGGGCCTGATTAGCCACCGGTATGGCTTTATGTGAAGTGAGATTTCGCATTTTCGGCCGGAGGCCGCGCACTAACTAAACCCAAACCTTAAGCCGTGAAGACTTCGGACGGGGTGTTCTGAAGGGATCCCTTCAAGGGGTTGACGGCCATGCCCTGCAGCAGAGCATACTCCAGATGAGACTCCATCTGGCCCACAGCATATTGCCTACGGTAAACCATTTGCATCCCCAAACACATGCATCACGAACCCTCGAAGTGCTTGGATCACCAGTTGAATGTCTCCAGCGTATGCTGCATGGACAATTCTCCAGGCGCCCTCAGCTCTAATCTCACCCAAGCAAAGTGCGTACTTAAAGGCAGTACAGCGGCTTGAGTCACTAGCAACATTATTCCAAAGGGTTTCTGCAACAACGCGCCAGGGCTTTGTTCGCGCGCGCGCAAAGGCGCGCATGTTGCAAATTCGTTGGCCTTGCCAATGAATTCGAGATGTTGGGCCACGCAAGACTGTCCGAAAAAAATGCTGTATTTTTTCTCTTCAGGCGAAGAGCTGCACGTCATCATGGCTGGCACATGGATGCTCTGCGGCAATGGATGGAGTCTGATCTGCACGTCATCATGGTTGGCACATGGATGCTCTGCGGCAATGGATGGAGTCTGATCTGCACGTCATCATGGTTGGCACATGGATGCTCTGCGGCAATGGATGGAGTCTGATCTGCACGTCATCATGGTTGGCACATGGATGCTCTGCGGCAATGGATGGAGGCTGATCTGCACGTCATCATGGTTGGCACATGGATGCTCTGCGGCAATGGATGGAGTCTGATCTGCACGTCATCATGGTTGGCACATGGATGCTCTGCGGCAATGGATGGAGTCTGATCTGCACGTCATCATGGTTGGCACATGGATGCTCTGCGGCAATGGATGGAGTCTGATCTGCACGTCATCATGGTTGGCACATGGATGCTCTGCGGCAATGGATGGAGTCTGATCTGCACGTCATCATGGTTGGCACATGGATGCTCTGCGGCAATGGATGGAGTCTGATCTGCACGTCATCATGGTTGGCACATGGATGCTCTGCGGCAATGGATGGAGTCTGATCTGCACGTCATCATGGTTGGCACATGGATGCTCTGCGGCAATGGATGGAGTCTGATCTGCACGTCATCATGGTTGGCACATGGATGCTCTGCGGCAATGGATGGAGTCTGATCTGCACGTCATCATGGCTGAAGCTTCTTCGAGGCTCAGAGGTCTGCGGGAACAACCCGGACACGTGCAGGAAATGCTGCAAAAACCAGTACTTTGGCACCCTCTAGAAGCAAGAATGCCTGAAAGTACTGCGCCCGGCAGCAAAATCGCAAGCCTGAACCCGTCGCATGTTGCGCGCGAACAGGGCTCTGGAGGGTGCAACAAAGCAGACCACGAAATACCCCGCAACCCCATTGCAATAATTAGCAAGGCCCCTATAGTCAGTCGAAGGTCTATAAGTCCCCAAGCCTGTAAGCATGCCTCAACCCCAGAAGCCCTTGACCGCCCCAGCAAGTAAAAGCAACAAATCCCTAAACCCTATATGGGACTTTCCGAAAATAGGGGACCCTTATTATAAGGACCCCAAAATAAGGTACCCCTAATTTTGGGAATCTCCCACATAAATCCTCAAGCCTAAATCCTCAAGCCTCGCACCTTCCAATCCGAAGCCTGAACCCTGGGTCCTGAAAACCCAAAGCCGCAGCCTTCTCCAACGTTCCAATCTGAAAGCATAACACTGCCCCTTCTGTAACCTATAGTACCCCTTCGGACCCTCATAGGGCCTCTTAGGGAATCCCTGAAAGTATCCCGAGCCCAGCATGTTCCTGAGGCAGTTCCTGCCCGAGGGAGACCCAGCCAGGCCCAAGAGTCGTTACCCGGCCGAAGGTCTCCGGAGGTGTTCGGGGCTCTAGGGCAGGTTGCCGCGATGTCGTGGTCGGAGTAGTAGTAGTAGTAGTAGTAGTAGTAGCAGCAGAAGTACAAGAAGTAGTAGTAGAAGAAGAAGTGGTAGTAGTTTTACTACTACAACTGCTGCACCTACTACAACCACTACTGCGACGACCAGCCTGAAGCTTGTGACCGAGGCGTTCAGTATCTCCTTCCTCCCATCTTTCTGCACGGCCTGTACAACTGGCTCTTGGGCTGCAGCTCAGGGTTGTGACATAATACGGAAGCTGAAATAATTTGCAATGTTGCTGTCCTCTACAGTCCGGAATGCAATCGTAGTACAACAGCTAGGGTGAAAACCTGAAGACTAAACCGTAAACCCTAAACCATCTGCATGGGAGCCGAGCTCACGGCTGCGATCCTGCACCCGAAATCCCCGCCCGAAGAGAGCTGATGCAGGGTTCTTGCTAAGGATCTTGTTCAGGGCTACTACAGAAGGGATCTATGGCAAACAACATGGTGTCCTTCTTACGGTAATCTACACCAAAAATTCGTCGACAAGAATCCAGGGATGCTTGATCCGATGCCCCGGCTTCGAAGAAATCTCATGAACCAAGGTGTTCTACCCTTCAGCGCTGTGAGGCCTACGAGGAGACGTACCAGGCTCTGTGTTGGGACGGTTCGAAGTTTCAGGGGAGTGGAGTGGCGCACAGCTCTGCATTGAAATAGTTTCATAGTTCTGCTTTGGGCTACAGGTCGCCAGGGTCCTGTCGGGTTTGAAGCCAAGTCCAGGCTTTGTCAACAGCAAATGCAGCCGTTGCATCATAATGGTCGGTGCGCTTTACATGAGGAATCTGGAAGTTTCAGTATTCAGGACTGTTGGGCGTAGCATGTTTTGCGATTGTTGCGGTTCAGTTCCGAAGTTTTAGGGAATCCGTCGGGCAACAGCAGCAATGAGATTTGAATTGAGGGTCCACCATAGCAATGCCGTGCTCAAATCTATTCTTGTCCGAATCTTGAGATTCCTGGCCTGGCCAGTTGCTACCGGTCGAAGTGTGCACCGGACAGTATGATATGTTTCTTCAGCCTCCTTGTAGGATACTTCCAACCCCTGTCCCGACTCACTTTCGGCGGCCCAGGGACAGCTTTACAAAAGTGATGGCTGCTACCTACCGCCAACATGGCGAATGGTTTTCAAAGCAGCACACACCGTCTGGAGCCAAGCTCAGGGTTTGCAGGTGGCTGTGTTGATTCCCAAACCTTTCTTCTCAGGTTCGACGACTAACTAAAGATTCTTGTCTTCTTTCTGTTGTTGTTGCTGCTGTTGTTGCAGCTTCTCCTGTTGCTGCTGTGTTTTCCATAGCAGCTGCCACTGCTGCTGCTGTTGTCAGTGTTGTTGCTGCCGCCTCTGCAGCTCTTATTTCGTTTGATGTTGCTTCTGGATCAGCAGTCTTACGGTCAGCTGTTGCGCATGCTGTCACCGTCGGCGCAGTCATTGTCGCCATTGACAGCATGATTCGATGTTCACTCTGCCTTCCAACTTCGCTTTGAATAGCAGGCAGCCACGTGGTGAGAAGCTTGCGACGCGTCACGAAAAAGTGGCCTAAATAATTACCAATACTGTTTTGGAGGGTTCCTTCTTATAATCAGAGAGTGATATACCCCCCAAAAAACCCAATTCTACCCATTAAGGCCCCCACATTTCGGTCCGTATCATAATCATAGTATAATGGGCGCCAAAAATCCTATTCTACTTATTAAAGCACCCATATTACAGCTTATAGTAATCATATGATATACCCCAAAAACCCTATTCTTACTATTAAAGCCCCCCATATTACGGCGACTCAGGTTGTCATGCTTCTCAGCTTCTACTGGTGTCTCGGCTCACCCAAAGTTGGCATCCTTTAGCTTCAGCTCCTGCCACCAAAAGCATGATCCCTGAGTTTAGGGTTTAGGGTTGCTGCACTCCACGGATTTCATGGGATACTGTGCCATGGATCGGACGGCGGTTACTCTCACGCACCCGACAAGATTTTGGAGATGTCTTCACAGGGTGTGGAAAACCTAGAACCCTCCACCATAATATAGGGGTCCAAATAATTACCACTACTGTTGTTGGGGGGGGGGGGTCCTTATTATAAGGGAAGTAGAATGGGCCCCCAAAAACCCTATTCTCATGATTAAGGCCCCTATATTAAGCGCCCGGAGTCGAGAGAAGGGCATGGCAAGACTGAGCCGACTCTGCGGGTTGAATCAGAGCAAGGTCATGCCGAAAGCCTCGATCGGGCTGTTGTTGTGGGTGTGATCTAAAGTTAGTCTAATACAGAAATGGAGGTGTTTTAGTATAGATCCCAAGGGTGGTAGCTTAAAGTAAGCTCCAAGACAAGAACCCAGTAAACCTGGAATCGGCATTCTTGAAGCTGCCAGCAACGCTAAGCCACGCACGGCTAGGTGGCATGCAGAGTTTTCCGAGATTGCAGGAGACGAGGAGGAGTGAACGAAACACGTCAGCTCCTGTTTCGCATCTCCACTTACTTTCGCTATTCGGGTCTCGTCTCGTGGGTCAAGGACTGTCCTTATGGTGTCCAGCTCGTGTTGCTGTGGCGACGAGAATAGCCAGCATCAAAAAACATCGACCTTGCAGCCCATCGCTTGGTATGGTATATTATAGGCATAGAATACTCAATGTTGTGGGGCGATGTTTTCAGTAAGGCAGTTGTTGTCAACGTCTTTCTGACAGGCGGAGCTGCTATGGAAGGCAAACGCCTCATCTGTGGCCCAGACCTTCAACCCCAAAGCCTAACCAACGGATTTGCTGGAAAAAGGAGTCACAAAAAGCCAACTGTAATCCGCAGCCCCAAACCCCACACTTGGGCTGGCCCTAACCACCCTAAACCCCTAAACCCTAAACCTTCAACGGCCCAAAACCCTAAACCCCTCAGCCTTAAACCCCTCAACCCTAAACCCCTTAACCCAAAACCCCTCAACCCTAAACCCTAAACCCCCCTCAACCCAAAACCCCTCAACCCTAAAACCCTAAGCGAGAGGAGGAGGAGGAGCCAGCCGCGAGTCGACGAGCCGAGGTGGGGTCCGGGCTCGGGCGCTTCTGCTCTTCGATGCGAATCCCTCCCATAGGTTTAAGGATTTGACATTTCGGAATTTAAGGTTTGGGGGTATGGGGGTTTGGGATTTGTGGATTTAGGGTAGGCCCTAACTTCCATGTGACTTTGCTCCTGCTCTACCTCTCGGTCGCTGACGGAGCTACTCTCCGTCTGGGTGCTGCTGTCCTTTCCTCTTACCTTGTGCAGCTCCCCGAAGCAGTGCAGTTGCATGCGCATGGTTTCCATGAAGGCCTCCCTGTTCTCAGCACAGGTCCCGTCCTTCCCACTCCCAGTGCTGATGAGATGTGTGACGTCTATCCAGTTGGCCGGACTGGTAACTTGCTGTTACCACGTACTGACCGTAGCCGCAGGCATCTCGCTGTGTTTGTGGGGACACCTCCTGGAGCGCCTGTCCTCGACCCATGTCCCATTCCCTTTCTGGTTGATGAATGGCTGCATGGGCCGCTGCTTCATGCTAGGTTAGCCGCTGCTCTTGGTTTCCCTACTGGGGTCTTCGCTGTATCTGGGGTCCGCGGAGTTCTTCCTGGGTTACCGAGTGAACAGCTTCTCCTCACGCCAGCTGCTTGTTCATGGCGGCAAGTGTGGCTGCCCGTTGATTTGCGACAGCTTGGTGGCCGAGTGTGTATGATACAGTGTCCTCGTGACTCCACATGCGGAGCAATCGCCCAACTCGCCCTTGCTGCTCAATCCTTGACGGCGGAGGTTGACCTTCTTCTTGCTCGTTGCACGTGGGGCTGGTTGACCCTTGCCTCCCAGCCTCTCTTCTTGCAAGATGTTGACACGCTGCAGTTTCAGATCGGTCCGGCTGTCGAGGCGCTTCAGGGTCCTGTCGGATCGTCCCTTGATCCTCCCCTGTCTCTCTTTTCTGCGATGCAGGTGAGCCTCCCTACTGCTCCGGCCGTCTACGACGCCTTTCCGGGTCATTCGCATAACCAGGCCGTTCTAATCACACCCAATGGGTTAGTATACGTTGAAGCCCCGGTTTTTGCTGACGCCGCGACCTTCCGACGCATCGTGTCTACGCGGGCTTCCCCTGCCGCTACTGGTGGCGTGTTGCGTATCTGGCACCCACTTCCCTCGCTCCCTCTTGTCCAGTTTCTTGAGGTTCATTGTGCTGAGGGGGAAGTGCCGTGCATTTTGGATTTCCGTCCTGTGGGCTGGAGGCTGACTACTGTCTGCATCTCGCCCCCTGTCACTGCGCTCGCCGCTGTCACCGCAGCTTCACGTCGGGATCGCAACAGTCTTCCCCACGAATGGGTAGATCAGTGTGCCAGGGGTGGCTTCGGTCTTCTTCACAGGGAATTTTCTGTGCTTCCGGATCAGGTCATTTCAGGGAGCTTTCCGTTGGTGATCATGTTCTTTCCGCATGTTTTTCGCCAGGACTCCTCGTCTTCCTCGGAGGACCAGGTCGGCGGGTGGGACACTCCAGGTACTTCGGATACCATTTCCGCCCTTCAGCACACCCTGTTGCCTTCACCCGCGAGAGCTTCTGCGTCCGCCAGTATGCCTGCCTGCACCGGAGTTACACCCTCTGCTTTCCTTAATTCTTCGGTCCCTCGCGCTGCTGAGCAAATTGAGGAGCCGGCTTCGGACACGTCTGCTGCTGTCCACATGTTGCGAAGGCCCTGGGTAGTCCTTCCTGTCTTGGGGGTCTTAGGTGGGCATGCCGGAAAGCAACCTGGACTTGGCACGTGGAGTGTTGCTTGCTTCCTGCTGCACCTTTCTCCTGTTGCAGCGGTTCAAATCCACAGCGAACCTGCATCGCCACGTGATGCTGTTCTTTCTGCTGCCAGAGCTCCAGACCGCCAGATTGCTGCTCCTGCTGGAGCCCACTCTCACCTGCAGTCCAAGTGGCTCCTGACTGGTGACTTCGGTGATGGTCCTCTCTGGTTATCACTTCCGTCCCCTAACTCGGTCTTCCTTATAACTTGCCGTCTTTGGCTGCCAGGCTCCGATGTGCGCCTTGAGTTTTCAAGCACCGATCGGGCCCGTGATGTGTCTGCGGAGCTGTACCGCCAAGCCATTCGACTTGGACGATCTCAGATTGTTGCGGCGTCGGTCGGGCTTACGCTTGAAGCTGTTCACCTTGTGTCCCTGCCATCGCACCCGGAAGCAATTACGGTCCTTTTTGATCTAGGCAGGGATGTTGTTTGCAGCGAACTTCCGTTCGACTATAGTCCGAATCAGGTTATTACTGCCGCTCAGGAAGCAGCCTCTAGCAGTGACATCCAAATCTTGAAAGGCCTGGCACACAGACTTCGCCACGGTGATGTCATTCGGGTGATTGTTAACTCCGAGCAACGTACGCTTGATGTCTCGGCGTTCACTCTCCCGCCTCATGTCGCCTCCGCCTCTCGGTGGCTTCGGGAGTCGAGGGTGGTGTCCTTCCTTCATTCCGTTGAAGGGGTGCTCTCTTTCGAGGTTCCGCGGTCGTACGCCCTTGACATCACTGTGCTGAGCACCCTCCTGCAGAGTGTCATCCCTGGCCGTCATGTCTTTGTTGAGATCCCTGGGGCGGATGCCCTCCCACATGCAGCGTTTTGTGTTGCCCGTCCGGGCCAAGACTGTGTTACTTATCGCCTGACTGATGCCTCTGATCCTTCCGCTGCAGGCCTTTTTCTAGCCTTTGCAGGAGTTTTCGAGTCCTTCCCTGTCTTTCTCGACAGCCTTCTTTACAGCAATCGCCCTGCAGCTGTCTTGCTACGTCGGTTGCAGCCTTTTGGTTTGTCGGTGCTGTCCTGGGAATGTACCGTTATCCCCGGCCGAGGGGATTGTCACTATTGGCATGTTCATGTCCAGGCTGACCTTGCAAGGGCTCGCGACTACCTCCTTCATTTGCATTGGGAGCCTAGGATTGTTCGTAGTCCCCCGCCCCTGCCGCCGCCTCGGGTTCGAGTCTCCCATAGTGTTGGGGTTCAGACTAACGCTCCCTTTATCTCCGCTAGCACACCTGCGGCTGTTCTGCAAGCACCCCCGACCCTATGTGGCGCCGGGGTTACACCAGATTCCGCTTCCGAGCTTGTCGATCTCTGGTGTGATGCTTGGCACGTAAAGTGTCTTGTGGCCTGCGTGCCTGGATTCGCTGTCTGGGCCCTTCGCGAGGGGGGTCGCCTTGTTGGCATGTGCACACCTGTTCCTACATGGGAGGCCGTTGCCCAAGCGCTTTCTCTCTCCCTCTGGGAGCTGCCCCAGACCTTTTTGTCGGATAGTAATCAGATCTGGCCGTTTCCCCGGGACCTTGCCAGTGTCGTTGGGAGGTGTGTTAGTGTAGGCTATGACTCGCCTGAAGGGATTTCGCAGTTAGCGCATAATTGCCATTCACCGGTTCCGAGCCCACCACCCGCTCCACCGACTCTTGTGTCCCTTGCACTTGGGCTGACTTGTCCTGGGCGCAGCTTGCTCTTGTGCCTGCTGGGTCTCCTGGCGCTCCCTGTTGATTCGGTGCAGCTGCCTCTTGAGCCCGCCACTCTGGTTCCTCGGCGCTCTGCTGACGACATTTTGCATACTCGTCGTGACTTCACGCGGCCCTGCACCATGTCTTGGACGCACGAGCTTGGGCGACAAACGCATGGTTTTGCAGTCGCGGCGCCTCAGCTAGGTGCCTACGTTGAGCGCACTTCACCACAGTATGAAATCCAGCTGCATCTGTGGTTACCCGGGCAAGGCCCGATCCATCTGCGTGTTCTTGCGCGTCACCTTGACCTGCATCTTAGTGCATATCTTGGAGCCTTCTTGCCTGACTGTGAATATGGGCTCCATGTTGCCTTTGACTCGAATCCGCAGGTCTTGGACATTTTGGTTACCCCGCCATCTCCACCAGTTTGGTGGATCCTTAGGGATTCCATTGGGTGTGAGTTGCTACGGCCAGTGGTCCAGCACTTTACCTCTCACTGCTCTTTCTTCTTTTGTGCCATTGAGCCTGATGGGGTTGTGCACAGTGTCGAACCCTCGGCTGAGGTGCGTCATATGTCACCGAGCCCCCAAGGAGCTAGGGCTCTCATTGGCCGTGCTCTCCCAGGGTTGGTCGGCCGATTTGTTGATGGCGTCCTTCATGTCGTAGCGGCGAGAGCTTGCTCGCCGGCTATCTTCGGCGGCCTGACCCTGCTTCTTCTTGGGGGGCAATCAGCTGCTATGCACCCGCCTTATAGCACTGCCCTGGCTACAGTCGCTGACGTTCCCCCGCCTGCACCTACTACCATGCGGATCTGGACACTCAATGTCCCCGTGCCTGTCGATCTGCCTTGGCGGCCACAGGGTTACCCAACCCGCTGGCTTCGCGAATTGATGTGCCGGTTACACCACATTGACGACCCTGGTGAATTCCGGTCTACTCTCTCCTCACCCGGCGGGACCGTGCAGCACGTTCTCTTTGTGCCGATAGTGCCCACCACACATCCTACTGCTAGATTCTGGCTGCTGCACTGGGGAGACGCGGCTGTTGTTACTTTTGGGCATACCCCTTTTCATTGGGATGTTGTCTCCGCTCACATCCGAGCCCTGTTCCCAGGGGGACCTTTGCCAGACCGTTGCCCAGCTCTTTCCTTTGCTGGCCAGTTTTACCCGCCTGGAGCTCCCTTGCCCGACTTCCCCTCTGGAGCTGTCATTCAGATCATCATCGGCGCCCTTGCAAGAATACCGGGAGACGATGATCCCTGGAACCCTGACCCGTTAGTCATTGATAGCCCCTTCTTCCGACATGTTCCCAGTCGTGGCCCTGCTCTGGAACCGGCCATCCGGCTTGACGGGCGTGGTAATCAACTTGCTGCTGGCGCCTTGCAAAACCCCTTGGTCGATCAAGGTGTCCAGACTGATCTCTCAGGTAACGGTACTGGTCTCGACCATGCCACCGTTTCCCGGGTTCATCTACTGTCCCGTGAACTCTCTTTCCATACGTCACGACTGTGGGCGGGGCTTGCGGAGCCTGACGCTGAGCCTGTTGGAGACTCCCCCTCCGTTCTGAG